TTCTTCAATAATGCTAGTATGGGATCGCAGCCGATCTTTCAGCAGTTTCTCAAGGCGAGCAAGGACCCGAAATATACCGTCAGTGAGATCAATACCGTACGTTTTGCTATCCCTCTTACACCACCGAGTCGCGCTAACATTATTCATAGTACCCCACCACTACTAACGCCGTGCAAGTCGTCACAACACTACTGTACGCTTGGACGAGCGACAGCATCCTCAAAGGCTCCCGATGGCAACCAATCGTCTTCGGCGGCTGCATGAACATCATCTGCTCTACCAGTCTGGCGATCTGGGACATACCCATCAAATGGAAGTGGGCTTGCTACATCCTCTCCGGTTTCGGTGGCGGTCTTTCCGGCTTATGCTTTGCATGGGCTCATGAGATCTGCACGCACGATAACGAAGAGAGAGCTATCGTTGTCGCGGCTATGAACGAGATGGCGTATGTGATACAGGCTTGGCTGCCGCTTCTTGTTTGGAGGCAGGTTGAGGCGCCACAGTATCGTAAGGGGTTTATTACGGTGGCGTTCTTGAGTGCGGCGTTGATTGCGACTGCGCTCACGATTCGGTTGCTGTATGCGAGAGAGTTGGCTAAGAGGGGTGGCGGTCAGGTTTCTGGAAGTGAGGTACGGACAAGTTCTGACGAGGAAACAACGGGGCTGGGGAGCGATGGGGATGTTGGTCAGGTCAAAGCGCCTTGAGGCCTGCAATCGCCTGTAAATCGCTATCACTTCAACGTTGGGTCTTCTCCAGAACCAGCGTAGCCTTTCATTGATGCAATCGCCGCTTATGCGATATCTATTACGGTGGCATGGTGATACAGAGCAGTGCAACAAACCGTAGTCAGGTAATCCGATATCTAAATAAGACAAAAGGTCTGCTCCTCCGGTACATCCGATGCTAAACCCTGGAAAAGCTCCCCGTTCATGATTTCGTCGACGTAGGCCTGACCCATGAAAATGTATTTGTCTCCTCTTGGTCGCAAGACATATGGCGTGTTACCTCCGTAAAGCACCACCACGACGTCACCGGTTCGCATGCACTGTGGACCTAGGCCATACGAACCGCGTTCCGTCCAGAAGAGCCGCCGGTCGTGACAAATGTAATAAGAATCTTTTCTGAACCGTGCTGAGTCGCGGTTATGAGCGTATTCACCCTCGTTGCCGAAATTTTGGAGATGTAATAATCTACTTAGATAATGAGAGCAAGCATTCCGGTGTTTTGCTTGTATTGACTCGTTTGTAAGCTCTGTGCTCTCGTTCGTCCTGCGCCAATCGCCGGCAGTCAAAGTTCGAGCGAACCTATCCAGCGATGAACTGACGTCTGTCCTCTCGAAAGCTTTGATGAATGGATGTCTTCCGGTTGTAACGCCCTTGAAGCAGATATCTTCAACATCAGGGGAGCTTTGCTCGGCATCTGCGGGATGTTCGCGACATGCGGGTTCGCCGACGTGCTCAGGATCTGATAGATCGCCAAAGTCCATGACCTCCTCCATCTCAGTCACTTTGCTGTACGCCACACCTCTGAGACAGAGGAGTTCTGGAACCGAGCAACTTCCGACAGTTATGGTCTGTTCATGCTCTCCACATGCGCTCCAGGAATAGCTGCTTTCAGGTATCCCTATTGTTCGAGGGATTATCGGAATATCCCACTGCGGGGCCCACGATCTGTATGCAATCTCTCCCTTATCGTCACCCGACCTTCCATATTCCGCAGGACTAGGCCCGTCATAATCGACCCCGTGCTCAATGTATGCGAAAGCTGTGAGCCGAGAGTACACTTGGATGATAGACAACACTGTATCCGCGAACACTTGATCGACGCTTTTCTCGTAGTTGATGCCCAGAGCTTCTACCTCTGATTTTGGCGAGACTATGTTCACTAGGCCATATACTCTGTCCCTCGGGTCGGAAGACTCATGGTCGCAAAAATGCGCCAACGCATCTAGTAGTTTATGCGTGCACTCCATATTCATCATGACCGCATTTCGGCTCCATATCTCACTAAGCGCTGGATTGTTTCCATTCTTGCACTTTCCAGTAACATCAGAGCTGTCGTGGACAGAAATCCAAAAGGCAGTCGTGGCGAGAGCTGACCAAGATATTTCATCATCTCCCCAGATAACTAGCGCGTCAGCAGCGAAGCGGATCTCTTGGATGCACCATGTTCTATAGAACCAAGGTCGATCGTAAAGATCTTTCAGGCTACCCAGTATGTGTTCACTGGCCATGATTTGTGGTAGATTGACTTCGTCATGCTCTGTGTAGCAATCCGGAATGATGCCGTGTCTTTCATCGTGATCATAACAAGCGTCGGCAATGGTTTGAACGGCATCGAAAGCCATGCGGGTCTGTTGTACATCGCCTTGCCCTAGCCAAACAACCACCCTTTTTGCCAATGAACAGATGCTCCCCATCATCGGAACTTGATGACTTTTCTCGGCCTCATCCGCCTGGTTGATACAGATCGCATCAGCCCAGATAATGCGGTCCGCCTCTTCAAGACGTAACCTCTTCAATGCTTGCGAAAGAGATGGTCCAATTTCAACACGCTGTCCGTTACACCATATGTCAGCAGATGGTGTTGGTGCGCCCCATACATAAGACAACGCCTCATACGGAGGAGCGTCGTCGATGTTGAAGGGACGACATTCGCATTGCAACGGCGCGTCTTCATTCAGGGCAGGAAGAAGCCTGAGAAGCCTGAACGTTCGATCACTCAAGGTCTTTTGCGCACAAGCAGGAGCGGCCGACATCTGGTATTTGGAACAAATTTGAGAGCGACGGTATGTTTACGAGCATGAACCCTGACGAACACTCTTAGAGTATTTTGAAGCGTGCTACGCTCGCTCGCATATGTCCGATGCGTATGTATCGCAATTCGGTACGTGCGCTGCGTGTACCCAAATTACAATAAAGTGGCTGATAGACGCCGGTGATCGAGGACGGCAGACCAGCCGCGTCAGGCTGACAAGTCACCCGTCGCAGGAATGGGGGGTTGTGTCGATACTCAGGACCGTGAGAAAATCCGGGCAGCGCCGATGACGTACACCGCGTTCGTGACGAGGTTTGCATGCGGTGTCCTGGGAGGGTAGGTGGGAAGCAGAGGTGCGTCTTGTAGGAGGTTGGGAAGTGGCACTACGATAAGACCTCGGCAATGTGCCGCAAATGGTACTGACATGTGGACACCGACGCTAACGTATGAATCTCATTGTCGCGCTCGTGGGGAGCTGAGCGGTGCGCCAAGCAACGCCATCAACCGCAAGTTCAACCGTAGCTCAATTGTCTGCCGCTGTCACCTACCACTGCCATGACACATTTCGGTCAATTGCCGTACCATTACACTCCTTTTCACTTCAATCATCACAACCCTCGACCGTGCGATCCGCAGATTTGATGAACGCGATGGATGCCATCTGGAAACCTGAACTAGCCACACTTCCTTCCGCCCCCAGTGCCGGCCTCAGGCGATCCATGAGCCAAGTCCGCGGTATACTGACCCGCTTCCTTCATCCCATGTCGCACGTGCGTCGTTCAAACGCCGGTGCCTGGGTACAGGACACGCCCACATTCTATCATCCATGTCATTACGGGAGCTTGCTATAGGGCATTTTATACGAAGTTTCAGCAAATGTCCAGCCTTATCTATTGCGCCCCTGTGCTAGCTAATGCGGGCTGGTCAGACTAAGCGAAACCACCTGCCCTTTTGCGAACCCTCACCACCACGCTCAAGCACGTTGGGACTTGCCAGATTATTGCATTATTGTAATTGGTCGACAGGTAAAGAGGTGCTGGAGGAGTTCTCTCCTCGCCGACCTTCACCGTGCTGCAAAGGGTCACGATTGTCCTGCTGATACCGATGTTGATGCTCCTTCGGACGTCATGTGTGAATGTGGTAAGTGCGCTTTGGTCTGCCAACGGTTTTGCGGCCACGTGCGCTACAATGGGAACTATGGGAAGATCAGTACGATCACTGCGGCACGCTCCATGAGTGGAGTGCACTTCCACGGCTACTGACGATCGTAACAAAAAGCAATGCGCTCATGATGTTCGACTTCAAACGTCACTGGGACTCAAGGCGCAATTGACTTTGCTTACCCAAAGATGGATGTTTCCGTTAGAGGCTTCAACACAGGCCATCCCAAGTAATCATTTGGCGGGCTAACAAGTCGAAAGCCACATGGAAAACATGGAAGACCCGGCCTCGGGTGCCTTCAGCCGCACAAACATGAGCAAGTGTCTGGACCAGTCGCGACCCTCGGGCGATGGTGTCGTTTCAAGCAGGTGGCAGGCGCAGCGCCACTCACACTATGCGCGGGACGTGCGTAGCTCACTTCAAGTAAGTTTCAACTCCTGCTCCTACAGGTCGCGGGGTAGTTGGTGTGTATGCCGGCTCCTATTACGAGCATGCCGGTTATAATGGCCGCGGGCGCTCCCGAGTGATTCAGGAATGCTTTTCTGGTACCCGCGGAGGACTTATGTTGTTTTTGCGGCTGTCTTTGCTGGCGTTTACTCATCATGACTTCGAGATTTCCTACCGCGGAGGAGTTCGCATCGTTTCCACCGCCTAACTATGTCGACCCGGCGAACCATCTTACATTGGCATTGGCGATACTGGTCCCACTGACTGTTCTCGTCATTGGGTTCATATCATGTCGGTTCTACTGTCGGACAGTGCTCGTCAATACATTGGGATGGGATGACTGGACGATGCTGATGGCAGCCGTAAGTGACAGAAGGATTCGTCTGGCGAGCTGAGAGTAGAGCACTGACCTGTGTAGGTGATGTCGGTTGGAAGCAACGTGATGCTCATCATATCGATGCTGCCAGATTACCAAATGGGCTACCACTTATGTGAGTAGATCGTGACTCCATCACATGCGATATAGCTGATATCAATCAGGGGACGTTCGACCCGAGCGACTTTTCGGGACGATGAAAGCTGCCCAAGTATGTGGCGCGTTGCGAGGTGGTGTTCTCATGCTCACAACAGTATAGATGGGCATGTCGACTCAACTGCTCTTCACGGCAATCATCACGTTCATGAAGGTCGCAATCCTTCTCACCTACATACGTAAGTGCGCAGCATATGCAAAATTCTGAAAGTGTACTTACTGACAGCTTTCCAGGCATATTTCCGTCGAAGCTCGACAAGTGGTTCTGCCGCTTGATGATCTTCTACACGGTCACTCTGAACACGGCCTGCTTCTTCATCACCCTGTTCCAATGCTCGTAAGCAAACGTGATCATCTAAACTATTGCATATCATGCTAACAACCACTGCAGACCCGCCAGCACGTACTGGGAGATCTTCAAGTACATCAACACAGCCAAGTGCCTCAACATCAAGGCGATCTACTACTTCCACTCGGCGCAAAACACATTCAGCGACTTCGTCATCTTCCTATGGCCCGCGAGAAACCTTTTGAACGTCCAAGTATCGCTCCGTCAGCGCGTAACTTTGACGAGCATGTTTTCGCTTGGTGTTATGTATGTCAACATCTCGCGATCTACTTTGGATCAGGCTGACATGCGATTAGTGTATGCATCGCCGGCGTCGTGCGACTGTACTACACACACCTATACCTCGTCTCCTACGATGTCTTTTGTGGGTCACCATCGAATCACAGTTGTGCGCAATCACCAATTAACAATATACAGGGTACGGAGCTACCACGTTCGTCATCATGTCGGTAGAGAGCGGTGTAGGAGTGATCTGCGGCTGCCTCCCAGGCTGCAAGCCCCTCATGAACAAACTGTTCCCACGCGTCTTCGGCAACACGTCGCAAGCATCGTCCCGCCGCCGGCCATCAAACAACTTCCTCGGAGGCAAATTCGCACCAACGTCATCGTCATCGGCAGGGAAATCCGAGCAGGGCTCATATCGCATGCAAGCTTTCCAGTCGCGTCCCGAGATACGGCGCGGTGCGACCATGGAGAAGCGACCACAGCCAGACGTTGAGAAACAGCTTCCTCCGCCCCCACAACCGTCACACCAAGGGCTGCGGCCACCCAGCCGAGCGGCTTTCACCGGAAGGAGACAGGGAGACGCGTACAGAGAGCTACAGGGCAATGGAAGTGATTCGAGTATAGAGATATTCCTTTTGCAGCGTAATTAAAATATGTGCACCCTTTCTGGGGGACAGAAAGGATTGAGATAGACAAAAGAATGTCCGTGCTTTTCAGTGTCGCTCCGCCCTAATGACCCCAGAAGTTCATCATGCCATCGATGTCATCAATCTTTCTTTTGCCATATCCATCTTTGCACCACTGCAGACGCTAGAATCCCGTTTGACCCCACCTTTGGCGCCCCTGAGTGCACAAGTAACGTCTCGTCGCGTGTCAAAAGTGTCAGCAGCGGATAGCTTGCAGCTTACCCTACTTCGCGTGTTTGCGACCGGTCCCACGCCTCCGCTCATCTTGTCGTCTCGTCATGTCTTCGTTCAGCCTGGCCGCTTCTGCCTTGCGAACAACAAACTGGGCATCGCAGGCACAACACGGGATGTCTCTTGTTTCGATGGATCGGAAATGAACGAGACAATATTCATGGTAAAGGACTAAAGGTACTGTATTAAGCAATGGCAATATCTCTCTGCTCCCAGCGACGGTCACCCTCATTGTATGCGCCCAACTTGAAAATACCAACGCGCGTGTACTTCTTGGTTTGCGGCTGCATTGCCAGCATGAGCCCCCGATCTATGGTAATACGAGCTAGCAACACAGTATTGCATCCCGCAGTGTATTCGTCACACTGACCATGTATGTCGGTCCAGGCTTTTCCAGACTTCGGATCCACGAAAGTAGGATGCAAAGACGACCAATTATCTTCTTGTGCACCGGTAGTGGCGTCCTCGTCGGTTCGATGACGCGTAGCTTTGCTACTGAACCCCCATGACCGAGAAGCTGCTTCGTGTCCCCATGATTGAGAAGGTCTTTCGTCTTTGCCTATCTTGGCATGGAGGGTTAATGTTCGAAGTCTCATTTCAGCGTCGAGCACGTCGCTGAAGTCGTCTTTAGACGTGGCGTTCTCGACGATGACGTTCAGCCGCTGGCAGACTATAGGATGACTATCGGTCAATGAGTAGCTGATAGGTCCCTCTATCGATGCCCAAGACCATGATGGAGCCACCCATTTAGCGGCCCGGGTGGGTTTATGCGAGCTCCGATCGTCACGGTCCACTTCCCAAAGGAGCTGGCTCGGCAGGTGTTCTGCCCAGAGCCCAGCATAATATCGCACAGATGATGACTGTCCAAACTTTCTGGCAACAGCCGAGATAGCGCGCAGCTTATCAGTGTTGTGACTCAGACTTAGGTGACTGTAGTGCACAACAATGCGTTCCCAAAGATCCAGAAATTCGGTTCCAGTCGCTGGTAGAGTGTACCAGTGAGCTGGTAAGTCAAGCGAATGACCACTTCCATATGCCCCGAACGTTTCAGAATTCGTGATCCACCCGTCTGTCTCCGGGACGACTTCATCAGTGCGATTGGCGGTGCACAGATACCGCAGCTGATGGGTACCGAACTCTAGGATGCGGGGTGAAAGGATTTGTTCTTGGAAGCACCACCCACGTTGGTGGATTGGCTCAGCATTTCCCATGTCTCTGCCTGTCCAGAGGATTACCGAACCTATCTTGCCGTTTTTGCAAAGGTAAGGCAATCGAAATCCTCTTTCCCGGGGAATGTATCTGGATTGTAGGAACCCATCCTGCACCCTGGGACTTCGTGAAGCTAGAAGGGTAACATGCGCATGAGAGTATATGTCGCCCATCCGGGCGAGCTCCACAATCTTGTCGCCATCGTCGTCTTGGACTATGCAAAGAGCGTCTATCCAGATGTATTCAAGCCCTAGTTCAGCCGTCACTAGTATAGCATCTTTCAGCGTACGTGGAAGGTCGCTGAACGAGATCTTGGACCGCCATGAGATTATGTTGCCTCTTTTCAGTTTCGTTGGCTGATCTCCTCCCCAGCAGTAGCTCAAGGTAGCATACTTTGGCCGTTCAATGTTTGTCGTTTCCACCAGGCATAGCTCTGGATCCGTGGCTGAGCCCTTGGGCCTTTTGAAGATCTTGATGAGACGGCGAGGTTTCAAGATACCAGAGCCCGTCGCTGGCCGCCGGGATTTGTTGCCGCACGCATGATGCGTGGTGGCGCACGTCTGCAGCCACTTGCGAGCCGTCGACATGGTTTCGGCGGATGCGGGATTCAGATTTGGCAGCCTGGGTTTGATGTCCGCAGCGGCTACGTTACTGAGCCACATTCATCATTAGTGCACTGATCTAGCAAAGAAGCCGTGTTCCACGGAGGACGTACTCAGCCTCGACGCACAGCACTAGCTTGCGAGCAAAGTCTTTACCGTCCGTATATTGATTGATATCATTGACCCAGTCTAGCACAAGCTGTTCTTCCGAGTTATGCGTGAAGTATGCGCGCAATCGACTGTTTACTGTGGTGTCCCGCCGGCGAAGAGTAAGAAGCCACTGCATAAATTCGCAGCCACCCTTTGCCAATGCGACGGCTTCATTAAAGTAAAGATTGAACCAGTATGCATACTCGTTGCCGGTCGAAGATTCGTGTTCGGTAATGCGCTCCCATGAGCCCTTTTCTGGGCAGCGGTTGTAGCCGTGGAGGTAGAGGAGCAGTTTGGATTGGCACACCTTACAGGCGTGGGGAAGAACAGGCACCAGCATAATCGATAGGCATCTGCAAGGTTTACACAGCGTAACAATCCGGTCAGTATGCAGTCAGGCAGCTGGCGAAGTGAAAGGAATGAAAGTCGGGCGCTGGCGTTCGACGTGGAATGAGACGACGCGGGGCGGGGTGTGGGTCGGCGCGTAGCTTGCCCCACTTAGCGTGTTTGCTGCCAATGCCTCGCCTCATTGCTTTCTCGTCATTCCTCAGCCTTTGGGGTCTTGCGAGCATTCCCATCGGAACAGTGCCGCTGTTTCATACAAAGGTTGCTCTACAGAACCTTATCCGAAAGCACTTAATCCACAAGGGCAGCGTCTCAAACAGATCGCTGAGCTCGTCCCACGTCGCGTCAAATCTTCAGTCCGAAAGCCTCACTCAGCCATTCAACTATGTCAGGCGCACCTCGAGGCGGTGACAGAGGAAGAGGAGGATTTCGTGGAGACCGCGGAGGAGGACGTGGAGGAGGGAGAGGTGACTATGGAGGTGGCGGCTTCCGAGGGGATCGGGGCGGTGGGTTTCGGGGTGATAGAGGCGGAGGCCGTGGTGGCGGCGGCAGAGGAGGGTATGGTGGACCGCCCCGCGGTGGCCAGCAAGGCATCCAGATCTTCCCGTAAGGTATTGATCAATTTTTGATTCGTCCAGAATTAACATTGGTACAGCAACTCTCATCCGCTAGACCCAAAGGTCGCAAAGGTTGAAGATACTTTGCATCCGGTCGGAAAGAAAGGCCTCGATCTCAGCACCCTGACGCTATCAGAAGGAAATCCAACGAGACCCGGATACGGCACCAAAGGTGTCAAGGTAGAGCTCACAGCGAACTATGTTGAGCTGCTTCCACCTTCCAATATGGTGTTGTATCGCTACGATGTTGACGTCCAACCAGAAGCCGCTGGAAGGAAACGTCACCGGGTCATGGAGCTCTTGCTTCAGTCATCGGAGATGGCTCCTCTCAAAGGCGACGTCGCGACTGACTTCCGTCAAACACTTGTCTCCAAGACGAAGTTCAAGCATGACGAAGACATCATTGAGATTCAGTACCGCAGCGAAGGTGAAGACGAACCAGCAGACAACGGCACGGTATACAAGATCAAGGTCAAGTATATCCGAACGTACAGCATCGGTGAACTGGTCGACTGGATGAATTCTACCAACCTCAGCCAGTCCTTGGGCGACAAGCAAGAATTGACGCAGGCGCTCAATATCTTCCTGAACCACTACGTCAAGTCCGCCAATAACCTCGCCACAATAGGCTCATCGAAGAGCTTCTCCCTGAATCAGAATGCGACAAGGGGTGATCTTGGCTCAGGTCTCGAAGTCATCCGCGGCTTCTTCTCCAGCGTGCGCATTGCAACTTGCCGCATCTTGGTCAATATCAACGTCAGTCATGGAGCCTTCTACCACTCTGGTCCTCTCCCAGGTCTCATGCACAGCTACGGTACACGGAACACCATTGCCTTAGAAAAGTTTCTCAAGCTGGTCCGCGTCCAAACCACGCATTTGGCTGAGAAACGGAACAAAGCCAAGCAGGTCATTCCTCGCATCAAGACTATTTTTGGGCTTGCCAGGAAGGACGATGGGCATAAGCTGCCAAACAGGCCACGCATCAAGGGTCACGGTGCAGGCGCCAAGGATGTTGAGTTCTGGCTCGATGCTGACGTAGGCTCCTCTGGCGCACCCAAGGCGGAGGCGGGTGCTGCAAAGGGCAAGGGCAAAGGAAAGCCCCAACCCAAGGGCCCAGCGCCTGCTGGATCGGGAAAATATATCACTGTGTTCGATTTCTTTAAGACGAGTCTGTCACTCTCTCCCTCCATGGTATCCCGGTACTAACGTCATGTAGCATACAACCGTGTCCTCCAGCACCCCGAGCTGCCGGTCGTCAACTGCGGCAACCGAGAAAACCCAATGTACCTCCCTGCAGAGGTCTGCGTCGTCGTCCCCGGCCAGCCATCCAAAGCCAAGCTTGATGGTGGCCAAACACAGACCATGATCCAGTACGCTGTACGCAAGCCATGGGAGAACGCGAAATCCATCCTCACCGAGGGTGTATCGACCGTTGGTCTGGACGAGGACACCAACGTTCTGCTGGTAAGTTCCCAGTTGCACTGTGAAGTCCTTTCGCTGACAATTACAAGCGCTCTTTTGGTCTCACCATCACACCGGGTCTGATTAAAGTACCTGGCCGAGTTCTTTCCTGCCCGAGGGTCATCTACAAAGGTGACAAGACTGCTCCTGTCGACCAGAAATTCGGCCGTTGGAATATGATGAACATCAAGTTCAACACTGGCGCTTCCCTACCGAAATGGTCCACGGTCATGATATCTATTCCAGGTAAACGTGACTCTTTCGATGGCCAAGCTCTCGGTGCTGTGATGCAGGAGTTCTACCAAGGCCTGCTCAAGATTGGTGTCAACGCCCAGCCGCCCCTTCCCCC